AGAATCCAGCACCACCTCTGAGTACTTGATGGGGGTTCCAGGGCTGGGGATACGGCCCTGAGGAGGCCGCAACTGCAGGCTGGTATAGCACATCACTTCCTCTGCAGCCTAGAGATTCAAAGCTGTTAGAAGTTCACTGGACCCTTGGAAAAGCCCCCACTTCCTTCCCTCCCCTCTTCCTCACCACAAATGACTCACCGTGCTGGGGCCTCTAGGCGTTGGATCCTGCTGATCTGGCCCTGGTTCCTGAGACAGCCGACCTGAGACAGGGAACAGTAGTGATCTGGTTACTTCTTGTTCCTCCTCCTGCAGTCCCTTATCCCACCCACCCAGGACGTGCGTGGCCTCTGTGCCCCTCCCCTCTGTCAGCTTCCTACCAGTCTGAAGATAATGCAGGTTCCCATACAGAGGGACCTCTTCCACAGACCCTCCAGGGCTGCAAGACAGAGATTAGAGGATGAGTGGGGACTTCTTGGTAAGGAGGAACTCTTGATCACCTATCTCTGTTGTCCCCTACTCACCGTCTCTGTCCTGGGTGGCTCTGGCTTCGGCCACTAGTCCATCGGAACAAGTGCGCAGCCAGTGAGATGAGAAGCAGCAGCATCGCAGCCCCTAAGAGGGCCCATAGTCCCCAGGCCTGGGCAATGGAGGGGATTCCTGTGGATGCCAGAGGATGGAGGGCATTACTGCCCAACGCAACCCTCCAGGTCCTAGCAAGTGGGACTTGGGACCATGTGACCCCTCCCCCTGCCCCTGCCCCGCCCAGCTCACCGGGCACTAGCTGATCCGAAGTGTAATTGTCACATCTGCTCCTCATGACTGCTGATGTGGGAGCCAAGTCTGCAAGTCCTGTGCCGAAGGGTCAGCCTGGTTTATGACCTGATAGCCGCTGCAGGCCCCTTCACTCTCACCCCTCCCTGGGCCTGGCCCCCACAGCTCAGCATCTCCAATACTGGTGGTGGCAGAGTCACTGGTTTCCGGGGAGGAAGGGGGAGGGGGTGGATGAGTGCAAGAACAAAGACACCGCCCTGTGCCTGCACCTGCGCCACCCAGCAGCTTCCAGGCTTCCGCCCCCACCCTTTGTGGCCCTGTACCCCCTTTGGCCAGAGGAGACGCAGGCCTGAGATTACTGTGCCGCTGTGCAGGTAAGCCCATAAAGACTCGCAGGGGACAAAGTAGCATGAGGCAGGACCAACAAGACAAGGAAGCCACACCTTATGACAGAGATTCCCTTCTGCCACAGGTGTCTGCCTTTTCTCTCCAACTCTGAGACCCATGCAAGAGAATGTATTCCTCACCGAGCATGCTGCAAAGAGGAATGGGATGGGGAGGCCTCCCGATACCTACAATCCCACCACACCCTAAGGCTGACTATAGGGGATAAGATCACCATTGTCATTCTTATTATTACTGGTATAATAGTTTAGGGGATAGAGGAAATTTAAATTCTCTGCTCCACACCCACTTCATCCAAACTGTCCCTAAGAACTGTCAATCTCAAAAGTTAGTTGAATTAAAGAAACCTCTGCCCCAGTACTATCCTGGGAAACTGAGCCATGTCTTTGCACTTGTTCACTTCAGGGAGTAGAGTACCTGCCCTACCCAGATACAGACCAACCACATGGGATGCTATTGACATGGGAAGAAGGATTTCAAGTTCCTTAGACCAGAGGTCAGTGATATGTCTGGCCAAATTCCCTAAAGGCAATGATCAGTTGAGGACCATTTATTATACTATACCTGGCCTGAACCACCTGTTTACATTGACTGTGCCAGTTGGCTTAGGTTCAAGGTTTGGACTACACTGCTCTGCAACCAGGCTGCCTCCTGATCATCAGCTAAACTATGACAACTCCCCTGAGTGTGGGTCTCTCCTCCCTACCCTGCCCCTTACCTTTCTGAAAGAACAAGAAGATACACTCTTATTCCATTCATTTCATTAACATACATATACTTCATTCATTTAAGTCACACGTGCTGATTGCTTGCTTATGTGCCAAGCTTTGGAGATAAAATTGTGAGTGGGAAATGGTTTTCTTCCTCAAAGTGCTCTTGATCTAATTAGGAACACGACCCTATGTATCCCAGACAATTAAAAGGCAGCGTGGAACACAGGGAAACTACCCAAGTCTGCCTGGAGAAGTCCTGGGTGGAAGAGCTGGGGGTTGGGATGATATGAGGTGCCTGATAGGGAGACAGAAAAGAGTTGGAATCTCTGACTTGCCTCTTACCTGTATTGTACCTGATTAACTTACTCAGCCTTCCTGAACCTTTGTTTCATAATTCTTTAAAAGAGCTTAATTATATTTACCTATTGGGTCATATTTCTTTCTCTTTTTTTAAATTTTTTTTATGTTTATTTTTGAAGGAAAGAGAGAGCGTGAGTGAAGGAGGGGAAGAGAGAGATGGAGACACAGAATCTGAAGCAGGCACTAGTCTCCAGGCTGTCAGCACAGAGCCCCACGTGGGGCTCGAACTCACAAGCTGTGAGATCATGACCCGGGATCATATTTCTGTCAACAAGGATTCATTGAGTGCCGGCTAGCACCAGGTGCTATACTTAGCTATAGGGATAAAATGATAAAGAAAAGAAATATGGCCCCTGCTCTCCTGCAATTAACAGTCTAGCAGTATTTTCTTTTTATAAGCAATTTTCATAGAATAGTTGACTTTTAATTAACTGATTTTAATAAACCAAAATGGATTTTTTCCAATTTTATTAAGATATAATTGACATGTGATAGTGGTTTTGATCAGGGAAACAAAGGCAAGAAAAATGTAGTTCAAATTTCCTTACAGCTTGCAAGCCCACTGATAGATACCTGAAACATGCAGAGCGTGACCTTCCTCAAAGAACTCATAGCTGCCTTAATGCCTTAAAGTTTATATTTTATTAAACGCTAAAAGTGACCTTACTTAACAGCAACTAGCCCCTCAAGGTCCTGAAAGCCTTGCTTCAAAATTCCTTAGAAACTTACTTTACCTCTATGCCCCTTCCCTCCACAAACTTAAAAGTATATAATCAAGTCACTCCTTAACAATCCCAGTACAGTTCTTTCTGCACCATCCCCATGCTATAATAAAATCACCTTTTTGCACCAAAAATGTCTCAAGAATTTTTTTCTTAGCTGTTCTCTCATGAACCCCACTTCAAATTTCATCAGTTTGAAGAAAGTACAATAGTTGCACTAATGAATAAATTAGAAGTTAAGGGTTCTGGGGGCGCCTGGGTGGCTCAGTCGGTTGGGCCTCCGACTTCAGCT